CCAAAAACTTTATCCTTTATCCTTTATTCATAATAATTAGATTAACTAATGTGAACTTCCTACGCAGTATGCTCATGGTCTTCAAAATGGTCCTCAGCAGGACAAAGACTGGGTTGACGTTGGGCAAATTGACCTACTTCTCACGGAATTTTCCTGAGTTCTAAGCTGATATTTTGATCCATTATGCATAGCTTGAAAAAGAATGACTCTCTGACTCTGATTTGAACCGATTCGGAAATACATATATAGTAAGGTAAAATATGAATAAAATGGTTAATAAAACAGATAAGGTTGGATGGTCGAATGCTTTCAGGTTGGACGCTTCCGACATACTATACTATTATTCCCATGCACACACATAAAACATAGCGACACTTACTGCGGAATATCGATGTCAGGGTGTTGGCATGTGCGAGCTGAAGATATCCTTTTTACTGACTAGCTTCCCCCGCGACGATTACGACGAAGCTCAATATTCACCAGCTGACTCATGTCGATATCGCAATGCATTCATAATAATTAGATTCACTAATGTAAACCTCCTGCGCAGTATGCTCATGGTCTTCAAAATGGTCCTCAGCAGGACAAAGACTGGGTTGACGTTGGGCAAATTGACCTACTTCTCACGGAATTTTCCTGAGTTCTAAGCTGATATTTTGATCCATTATGCATAGCTTGAAAAAGAATGACTCTCTGACTCTGATTTGAACCGATTCGGAAATACATATATAGTAAGGTAAAATATGAATAAAATGGTTAATAAAACAGATAAGGTTGGATGGTCGAATGCTTTCAGGTTGGACGCTTCCGACATACTATACTATTATTCCCATGCACACACATAAAACATAGCGACACTTACTGCGGAATATCGAGAATAGTCAAAATATCTAAGTATAGAGGTGGTTTTTTGAAACGATTAACACCCTTCAGAGGGTGTGGTGCATTAGGAACGAAATGGTCGCGTCGCGGTGAGAGGGGCGTCGCGCGCGAAGGATTGTAGCAGGATGCAGCAGTGGGTAAGAAATACAAGAACAAATGTACTAATAGTAGAATTATGTATAAAATAATGATCGCACATCGATTGAGCTGTATGAAAACGCTAGAGTTGTAACAACGGCGAATGAGTGGTCCGCGACAGCCGCGTGCGGCGAATCGATTACCCAAAATCGTTTCTAACGCCCGTCTCCCCTCTTTAGAAAATGGAGAGGCAGTGATGGCGGGGTTATTTTGTGACCTATTTTTGAAGTTGATTCTATGCCACTAGTATTCAGATATGCACTAGGTCTTTAGGGAGGATTCGAGAGTTATTAAGTGTCTTCTAGCCTTTTGAGCAGTGGCTGATAGTAACCTTCAAATTAGCTTAAAAATGAGGGTGATCTAGAAATCTCAACGCAGGGTGAGTCGCCAAAAATATTCTATTACTTGATTGTCCTACTTTACCTCATTCCTTATGCTTACGATGCATAGTTACAACCAATAATGTCCTCTCTCATTTAGGTTTATTTTTAGTGATGCTAACAATCAAGCAATCACTGAGGGGAATCGAATGCAGGCATGCTTCGCAGCTAGTTTTAGGTAAGTAAGGAAAATTTGTGGAGAATATTTTGAAATATTTTCGACTATAAAAACCAATAGGAAATAGTCATGCCAATAAAAAAATAGAAATCAGGAGCGTCAAAAATATCATATTTAAAAAAGGAAAAACAACCTTCATTTTTTCTCTGTTTCCAGAAGAAAAGAAATTCCATAGCAGTTACTACGCTTAATGATTGGGACATTAATTAATGACTAAATAAATACTCGGATAGTAATTGAAATCCCCAATTTTTTTTCTGCCCCATTACTTACTGCTACCACTCCATATTCAGGAACGCCCCTACTCGATCATGTCGGATACCTGATAGATGGTTAGGATCGACAGTTCTCATAAGTTAATCGAACTAGTCAGTTCGACTGTTCAGTGTGGATGTGTCTATTGATCACGAACGTCGAATGTTTGGATTTTCAAAGTGTTGGCTCTTGAATTTATACGTTAGCTTGCATTCATGAACCAGTCTGAATCTAAAATGAAGCTACAGTAAGTACAGTAAGAACAGTTCAGGCCGCTATCCAAATAACCTTTGACATAACCTCAAAATCACGTAGAGTATTAGAATGTAAGCGATAAGGCTAGATTCCAGGTTGACATTACGTACTAAGGATTAACTCATGAAACTCCTAGTCCTTTTGTTGCTATCATCATGTTGCTCACTGCTATTGCTCCATATTTAGCAAGGTCCCTACTTGATCATGCCAGTTCCCTGATAGGTGGGTTAGGATCGACAGTTTTCAGCAAATCTAAGCAAATCGAACCAGACCGTTCAACTGCTCAGTGTAGAAGTGTCTATTGATCACGAACGTCGAATGTTTGGATTTTCAAAGTGTTGGCCCTTGAAATCATACGTTAGCCTTCATGAACCAGTCTGAATTTAAAGTAAAGCTACGGTAAACATAAATCTCCTTCAGCAGGCACTCCTCCACCACATAGACTGTGACATAATCTTGAAACTAGGTTGAGTAATATTTTAGGGTAATTTTAGTTAATTACGTATTTCCGAAGGTAATCAGCATAGGCTCTATTGGAAAAAGCGAACATTCGGATTGTTAAAATGGTGTTTAGGGTGTACTCAACGGCTTAGTACCCCTTCCTCCTCTGAGTCAATGTAAGCTCTGAATAACAGACCCTGAAAGGCTAAGGTGGGTAGATTCGCTTTCCCGAGTCCACCAAGGCATCCATATTCGATATAGATGTGTGGGAAAGAGGGTTAGCCAGTCAAGCATGAGTATATAATAAAGCCAGCCTGAAACTTAAATGTTTACTTATAGAAACAGCTGTTACCTACTGTCTACCTACCTACGCAGCCATCTCCCTACCTTTGATAAAATTCTGCCCCCTTATTACATCATATATATATTTACATAAATTTTTTCAACACTTATTATATCCCCCACTCTGGATGCTGTGGTAGGTTCAGGCTTTCCCTGGGCCTTGATTGATCGATAATTGACCTTGGACCAGCAAAATGTTTCTTCGACGCTTCACGAACGAACCCACTCAGAGCAGCTGTTTGAGACGCCTACAGCGCACAATTGCGAATGCGATAACACCAACGTCTAACGCTCTGGGTCAACAAAACTCCACCGACACGACAGGACCAATGTTCAAGAGAAAAAATGGAACGTTGATACTCGCCAAAGAAAAACTGCAACTCTTCAGCAATAAAGGAGAATATGGTTCTGCACACAATGTCTACCCAGGCCGTTGGACATTTCCCCAGTGGCACCAGTGAAAAGGAGCTTAACGAGTGCATTTCACTATATAAAAAGAAAAGTAGATTTTATGTTCGATGTCATGCCGATCCGATGGCGTCCCACAAAAAGTCGGCAATAAAATTTCCCTCGGAATCGAGCAAAATGCTCAAAAAATGAGCAAAAAGTTGAAAATCCCCTGCTCACTAGACTGATTGCCTGGTTTGGTTTATCTCAACCACTTTTGCAGATCGGAAACTCTACTCGAAAGCTTCCCCCGCGTGATCGTACGGTAATTGATACGTAACCTGAGTTCTACATTAAGGCGGACTGAAAGGCGTTCCCATATCATCCCACACCTTCTCTGAAACGTTCACCATCCCAATCACCCACCGCCCCTCCCACTCCCACACAGGTACAATGCCTCTCGAAAAAAGATGGCATATATGCAAAATATTCCGATTTGTACCTCCAAGACCCTTTTTCTCCAACTACCGAACTGGGTGACTCAAAAACTCTGTGGGTTTCATTTACTTCCGTCACACTGGTACGGTTGCATCCAGAAGTGTCCTGCATTCACCCACATCATCCTCCATATCGAAAGTGATTGATGCCAGCCAAGTCTATTGTTTCTCGAACGTCTCCCTCTTGACAAATGATCTGCTATCGGTGATGATGAAGTTGGAGAGGTGGGTGGTGGCCAGTAGGAGGGATGGGGGAGGCGGTCGGATCGCATGATAGGTGTATCTCTATGAATTATTTTCGAGCATCCCGATCCCTATTGGAGCCTAACTAGTTAGCAATTGACTCAACTAGCATTTCTCTTCTGCGACAATGAACGTCGACAGTACACTTCGGTTTCAAACCTGATAAGTGTACGGAATGTTAAAACCCTTATCGATAACACTTTGGGAGATTCTTTTGCCGATTATGGGGACTTGAAGCGTTGTTATGGTTTATTCAACAGGAAATTAAAGTTTTGTGAGAAAATTTCAGAGAGAAAACGTCGTACATAAAAAGCAACGGAACCAATCTACGCGAACTTTATCAAAAAATGGCCGCACCAATGCTGTTTTTGTAGACATCAACATTAAGTTAATAAATTAAATAAACTTTCTAACCATAAAGACATAACTCAAATATCATTGATCAAACTTTCGATGGAACTCGCATTAATTTCCCTCCGCTGAGCACAAGAAAGCGATTGACTCATTCAAAATAAAATCGAAGACAAAAAAATGGAACGAACCAGCTGGTTGATATCGGCATTGGCTCGGCCCTCAATCTGAATCTTTGGTGGTGGTTTACGTGACTCCTCATCGTCCGAATCGCTGCTCACTGCGTACGGATCCTCTTCCTCGGCCATGCTTAAGTAAACATCAATCAATACCTATCTGAAGTAGTGGTTTGCAATCAAAACGATCACAAAGCAGCGGACTGTGGACGAGATGACCTTCCACTGATATTACGTACAGTTCAAATTCTATACTGGCCTATCGGTCCTGATGTTCTGCTGGACTATCCAACTATTAGGGAATTTCGTTTTAAAGCATTTAGTCGGATGAACTGGAAAAGCAGGGTTTTTTTTTTGAACGATTTCCAAAAAATGGACCTCAATCAAGTCGATTATGAAAGCCCGTCATCGATGAGAAAAATCGTCAGCTTTAAGAGCCTTCAATAAGGGCTACGTAAAGAAAAAAGTGTTCAAATTTGGGAAACAGCAGAAAAAATACAGAGGAGGCGATGGTCGTGATCCACAGATCCGTTGAAGTGTATCAGCTTTTCTTGCTAGCATTTTTCAGTGAGCAAACATAATACGCCAAGCACCGTGAAAATCGTTGAACCGGTTCTCGAATAGCTTCATCCACGGATTCATACTTATCTATAGCCACCTATCAATTAGATTCATAAACGAATCTAGACCAGGTATCCCGAAGTACAAACGTGAGACCCCTTTTCCGAGTTACCCAATCCTTGGCTATATATTAAGCCGTCGAAAGCGAAAAGACCAAAGATACTGTAGAGTCCACCAACATACTAATATATCGGCTACCATTCCGGTACATCTTGAAGGGTTAGGTGAAACCTCCAGCTCTGGTTCGTTGCTGATTGTGGACATTTGGTTCGAAAGTTCACATCAAAAATGAAAAAAAAGTTTTTCCTTCTTTAGCTTTTCTTACCCTAGCCCCAATGTCAGTGGAAGCTACGCCGCACTCTTACAGAAGTTATCAAAAGAAGAGTAACAAGAGAGTATGACATATCTAGCATCTGAGCAAGGTGCCTGATCCCCTTTACAAGTGTCCCACACCACTAAGCCAACCCTAAGGGTAAAGTAGACATTGGTAGCAGAAAAAAGGAGTTGTCCTACGTTGTGTCAGGCAGCTACATCACTTTCACACAATCTGGTTGAAGAAATCGAAAACGGAGAGAGTTCGCAGGATAATTCAAAATAGTGAAGACAACTTTTATTTTTTAATCAATTCAACTCTATTTCTTATTTGCTTTTCCTTCTACTTCGTTTCCTCCTTTCTGCTCCCGCGATTGCTCCAGATTCACTGGCACTTCTAAGGATTCCATAGCTCAGAACATGTGAAAGCCACGAAGAGCGAAAAAAGAGCCGAAAAAGGTGTTAGTCGAATACGAATCGCGAGAAAAATTCAAGATATATGTAAGGGCGAATAGAATGGATAGGATATCCTGAATGCGGAGCCATTCAGTTTGTTAGCTGTGGCGTATATGCTGGGCGAGAGGGATCTGGCAGCCGACTGTGCGCTTTACAACATCAGCAGCACGGGGCCCGAGGGGGCGAGCAAACGACGACAAACACAACGTTGAGAGCGTTGAGAAAGAGGTGGCGATGCGTTGAAGTAAATCTGGCTCCAATAAAAAAACACAAATCGTCGAAACATTGCGAAATCGAAAATACTGGGCGATAAACCAAGAAGATCCTGAATCTCCTACTCAGGTATCGCGCTCTGGGAAATAAAACAAGTACAGCACAGAGGTTCTGAAGGTCTGAAAGTATGATTCTTCAGTTAGAGGTCATGGGACAGCGTTTGCATGGCTTTTGAGAGAAGCGACAGGTAAACTGTAAGTAAGTGGGAAACGAATGAAAAACGTCTTCCCCAGAAAATGAATGGTTAAGTTTTTATAATCACGCTTTGTAGTCAAAGGAATTCATCCCATACTCAGGAAATATGCTTGACAATTGAGATCATTTTGGAGTAGGTACTCCTGAAGTCCAAGCACATTTGGTGCTGATCAATTACCTTTTTTAGATGTGCCGACATCCAATTGAAGTTATAGTGGCGTTTTATGCGTATCCGGTCTATACAATGAGTTGAGGTGGCCAGCAGAGTGCAAGTCAGTCCACTTTCATTCTCTAAAACGAGCCTGGTAGCAAATGACCCATTCCGTAGGAATGGAGAACTCTGTTGGTCCGGGCGAGCGTCAGTCCGGAAATCAAACTTTGGCTCATCCGTAGGATAGTGCTCCACTTGGCACTACAACACCCGCGCCCGGAGTTGAAAGCAACTAGAAAAATTGGAATCCATTGAGTCTTTTATTAGCATTAATTTGTATTATAGGTAGTACGTTTTGAAGGAATAGCCAAACAAACGTTAAAGGGAAAAATAGGGATTGGACTGCTACGAATAGTTGAGCCCTCTATTTGTTTTCGTGGCGCATTCGAGCATAGCATTGAAAATTCGAGCTGTACAGTGAGCGAAAGAGGTAACAGAAACAGGTTAGTGACCTGAGTGGAAAGTAAAAGTCCTGAAGGAGTGCGAGATGCTCGACCGTGACGGATCGACGAAAATGCACCGCTGTGGTTGATCTTGTTTACCCGTCACTTTAAGTATTCTCAACAAAGTAGTTCTGAATACAGTAAGTACTCACCCTGTACTATTTTTTGATGGGATAACGTTTGATAATCGCTACCTTCGGCTTCTTTTCGCTCCATGTCGGAAGGCTCGAGTAGTAGACGGTTTTTTTCCCCTAAACATTTCTAATTCCAAGATTCCGCCGTACACTCATCGGTTCAGATCACGTCTCACCTCATATGTCATCCCAAAATCAGTACCAGCTTCAGAACTTGACTATCACTACACAGATCTGCGAATTTTCTTTACAAGATGTCTTCGGAGCCTCTGAATGATTCATGAACGGCCACCGCTGCTGATCTAAATCAAAGCCGATTTTTTGTAACTATAAACACTAGTGATAGAAACCAACCCGTCGGCACAGAAATAACAATGAAGATTGATTCTGATGAGCTGTAAAAAGTGTCTGAAGATCTTACGATATAAGCTGAAATTTTATTCCTATCTTTGAAGGCCCCTCTCATAATTGGCTGTGATGACCATACTGGAAGTACATAGAAGGCGTCACGTAAGATTAATTCGAACATTGAAGGAGGAGAAAAGGTGAATGCTGTGAACTGGACTGAAGATCCAATTTATCGTTCGTCACAAGAAAAAAGTTAGGAACAGAGTGTGATTAGGCAACAATGCTCAGTGCCATTACCACCATCATCGTCAGTCCGAAAAATTTGTGGTTGTTTGTCCGATTGCTGTCGTTTTGTTGTCCCCGATACCTACTATTTGAAAGGAAAAGTAATCTTTCCAAGCTCTCATCTCTTGAGAAATAGTGTGAAGAAAGAAGTAGGGAACAGAGCCCCGCTATGCTGACATGTTGGTGCGTTTCCTGAGTTGCTGCATTTTTCATAAGATCGTCTGATCGTTTTCTATCACTCACTACTAGGAACCATTCACGAGTTTCGGGCTTTTGTGATAAAACTCCAATTCTGCCCATCGTAAAACTTCCTAAAACGAACGTTCCTTTTCAAAAACAGCAGCTTTCCTTACGAGAAAAAAAGCTCTGTTTGATACTTCTGATTACCTTTCCGTATTTTTGCCTTTCTTCAGCTTTCTCCATCGCTTGACGCCAAAAATCTTTTAGCATCCGAAGCGATATGAGGTAGAAGTCAAGGGCTCGATGTAGCACTCTAGGAGCGCAAGGAGAAGTTTCATAACCCATGTCTCTTTCTCAGCGAGGACACAGCTAGCATAACATAAGAAGTTTCCGGTTGAACTCAAAGCAACATGGGATTCGGCCCCCGTTCAGGAGCTAGCATCCCCTCCACGACGGAATACCGCAAAACTACCGTCTACTTACTTTTGGCTCAGCATACAAGATACTGAGCATGAAGCATCTCCTAGAGGCCATTACAGCAGCATGGCACATTAACTAAATCACGAAGGGCCATAAGAAAAACCTTGTTTTTCTTGTGTCTATGCCACCGAAACATCTGTTCCGTTAATCTGGTGAGAGCGAGTTCATGTGGTATCAAAAAGCATGTAAAAACATCGATTTTATTATGTTGACTCAAATCATCCAAGGTACGTATAATCCGCACTTCCAGAAGCCGTCTCACTTGCAGTGAACTTGGGAATCACCTATAGATACTTCCATGATGATATGCATCGTAACCTGTGCTTTGCCTATCGAATTTTCTTCAAGCAGCAAATTTTTTCCACCATATCAAGTTCATTGCTTTTGTAGACCAACTTCCTGAAGACTGCCCAGAGTTCCGGGAATTCTTCGGCGTTCTCATGAAACCTACACAGAGACGGACATGGCGGCCTGACTGAGCGACCACCTCTTGACAAGTGCTACGCCCTACAATTAGCACCCTTGTTACAATATCTGAGAGGGCATCTCATTACTGTTGCTTGGACCTCCCTCAGAATCCTCGTCCACGTAATTGCCTGAACGGTGGTCTACTGGTTACAAGGTCAAACCTTCGATTCCGTTTTGCGTGCTAGTTTTACGGCCTAATCTGGCTCTGGATAGCTTCTATCATTTTTTCGCGACTGCATTTATTTCTTTATGCTGTCCAGTAGCGCTATCACAAACCTTCTTCTTCTTCTCCTCCCTAGCGTTAATCCCCCACCCCCTTTCGAAGGAGTAAACCTTTCTGTAAAAGCGTCCTGAAAGTTTTCAGAACATTAGGGCACTGAGAGGATACTTGTATAGTGCTTACTTACTCCTTGCTCCAACCTTCCGAGCCTACATCAAAGAGCCAGTTAGGAGATAATTTCTCCTGGGCTTGGGATTTTTCTTTCGATGATTGCATCAATTTTTATGTCAGTAATAGAGAAGGCTCATATCCTTTACAAAAGCTGATTGCATGGGAGTAGGAATTGAAAGGAACTTCCAACGAAACATTTCCTTCACTGCCCATCTTCTTCTTCTTTTTCTTTTTCTCCCTACGCTAATCCCGCTCCGTCGCAGGGTCCGCTGTTCTTGTCAGCCGTTTCCATTTCATTTTATCTACGGCATCTTCTGCCGTCGCCTTGGCTTCGGCGGGGTCCTTCTTGATCACGTCCCGCCATCTCTTCTGTGGGTCTCCTCGAGGTCGCTTACCTTGAGCCTCGAACTCCATTGCTTTCCATCTCGTATGCCGTCTTCTGCTTNTTGGCTTCGGCGGGGTCCTTCTTGATCACGTCCCGCCATCTCTTCTGTGGGTCTCCTCGAGGTCGCTTACCTTGAGCCTCGAACTCCATTGCTTTCCTTATCGGATGGCTCTGTGGTCTTCTTAGTACATGCCTAAAGCATCGCAGGCGCTGCTCGCTCATCTTCAGTTTAACTGGGGCCATTTGCATAGCCGTCCTGACGTCTTCATTTCTGACCCGATCCAGCCGCGTCTAGCCACAGGCCCACCTGAGCATTCTCATTTCAGCGGAGTGGAGCTGTCCTTCAGAAATCTACTCACGGGCCAACATTCGCTGCCATAGAGCATCGTGGGCCTTACCACTGTCCGATACACTTTTCCTTTGAGGGTCCTAGAGCACCGATGGTCGCAGAGGATACCGGTGAACTCCCTCCACTTCATCCATCCATTTATTCGGGATTTTACGGCCTGGTCACCATCAGCGGCTAGATTACTCCTCAGGTAGCGAAAGTCCTGGACCTTTTCGATGGCATCCCCGCGATCGTCGACGATTGACTCCGTGCCCCCTCGGAGCTGAGGAACTTGGTCTTCTTCACGTTCAGCCGGAGTCCATTTTCCGCTAATACTCTCTGCCAATCCTGAGGTTTGTCCTGGAGTTCTTCCTTGCTCCCCGCTATCAGAGCGATGACATCAGCGTAGAGGACGGTCTTGTGTGGTCCATCCAATGAGTTCTTCTGTGATAACGTCCATCGTGGGCAGGACTAGAATTGGGATCAGAGCTGATCCCTGGTGTACCCCAATCGTGACATCTATTGCTCCGGTTTGGCCCTGTGGTGTGCGTATTGTTGTGGTGGAGCCATCGTACATGTCCTTCACCAGGGAGATCAGGTGTTCTGGAATCTTTCGTTTTCAGACCGCTCTCCAAAGGACTTGTCGCGGGAGACGATCGAAAGCCTTTTCTAGGTCGAGGAAGGCTAGGTAGCAGGGTCTACGCTTTTCTCGATACTTCTTCATAACTTGCCCGGCTATGAATATGGCATCCGTTCTAGACCTTTCAGGCATGAAGCCGAACTGCTCCTGTGAGACTGGGACTGTTTCCTCAATCTTGAGTCGACGAGCCGCTCGTACAGTTTCATCGTATGAGCAGTCAACCTGATCCCCCGGTAGTTGGAAGACTCCACTGCGTCCCCCTTCTGCTCGAAGATGGGAACGATAGTACTCCTTCTCCATGCATCCGGTAATCTTCCTTCAGCGGTGACAGTGTTCAGGAATCGGATGAGCCACTTTATCCCGTGCTCTACGAGCGCCTTCCATGCCTCGATCGGTACTCCATCCGGACCAGTTGCCTTCCCAACCTTCATCTTTCCCATTGCCCTACGCACCTCATTCTCTGTCCAGAGATTGATGGGGCCTCATTGGGAGCTGTTCTTACGGGCGAATCCTTCGTTAAAGAGCCTGTCGAAGTATTCCTTCCACCTACACCTGACCTCGCTAGGCCTTCTCAGGATCAAGGCGTTCATTTCCGTGTTCTTCGCCTTCGCGGCAGCAGCCTTGGCGAGCCTCTTGGAATTTCTGTAGGCAGCTAGGTCCTTTGGAACTTGTGTCCTTTGCCAGCGCTTGTAAGCCGATTTCTTCTGCCTCACAACTCGTTGGACTTCATCATTCAAGAACCGGGCTTCCTTGTCCCTTCGGAAACCACCTCGAGTTTCCCATAGCGTTTCCTTTGCAAATCGCAGGATGACGTTCACAGCGTTGCTCTAGGTCTGCTGGATCGGCCCTTCGGGATTTGGAAGTCCAGCTTCTAGTACCTTCTCTTTGAGGTGTTCTCCTTCAAATTAGTGCAACTTTCACCAACGGAACCCACGTTCCGTTCATGTCCTTGACTTCTTATGAAGATCGATATCTATGCCTGCTAGAAGACGTCTGTGTTGTGGAACTAGATCTTCTCCGGGCAGTACCTTGATGTTCTTTATAGTTTTGAGGGGCGATCTTCTTAATAGCACATGATCTATTTCCGTTTCTTTCCCTCCACTGTTGTAGGCCACCTTTTGCGACTTCCTTTTCGCGAAGAAAGTGCTACAGACTGCCAAGCCGTGGGCTATGGCCAAGGCAAGGACCCACTCTCCTTCTTCATTTCTGACTCCTACTCCTCTACCTCTCACAAACCAGTAATTTTTTTACCCATCACGGGTTAATCTACTTTGTATTGTGATATATTTAATCCATCCAGTGCATGACCGAATTTTTGAGCGTTGAAGGAAGGACTGTATCAGTAACTTCATTTCATAAACTGCTACAACAATGTAAGGATCTACACTACTAACACAGGTAACCTTATGACACGTGCAACAAAGCTTCACCTAAAAGTTCTACAATTTATTTGATACAAGTTGCGTTTTTCTGGGTAGCAGTGAGTTGCACGCCCTTATACCACAGTCAAGGTCAATGTCACAGCATTTAACTACATGAAATCCCTCTCACAGACCGCCGAAGAATAGGAAAATAAAACTGTGGGAAGGGGGGGGGGGGGTTATGAGGGTTGGGAACAATCAGAACGAGTACCACAACTCGATCAAAACACAGAACACAAAATTTACATCATTACAACAAATGTACATACGACTTTATACAAGTACAAGTGAATTCAGTCTGCACCTGAAAACTGGGAAGACATCAAACATATGCTTTTGAATGATCTTTCTTAGATGCTAGTGCTGCCTGCTTGATGAGTCGACGCAGCGCGGGTTCATGTTTCTGAAAATACCATCGATTCTAGAAAATGATCGCAGATGTTTTCCAGTCATTGAGTATGACGGCAACTACGCAACTAAACAACAGATCCTAGCGTCATGATTGTTAAGTTATAGAGAGTCTACTTAGGTTTATCCATGCAGAAACTTACCGTGAGTGCAGCATGCAACTTATGAGCTTCAATACGTTCTTGTTGATCAGCGCTAGTCGCTGCTGCTGTACGAGTTCGTTCTAGCAGCACCATGAAGCGAGGGTGTAACCGGATAAGCTTAAAAATTGGGAAAAGAATACCGAAATCTAGTAGCTGCTTTGCATCTCTGTTACAGTCAGCAATCACCTCTACTGGAGACGCAAATTCTAGAAGAGTGGTGATAGTCCCATATATCATTGAATAACTTGATGAGGGTTCGTCAAAAATTCGCTTTACTGCACGAAATGAACGACGCCTGGTCTCTTTGGTTCCGTGATCTCTGAAAAGCATCGTTAGTTCGAACAAAATGTTTACGCTTTTGCTTCTGGCCTAAGCTTTTTTCGGGCACTTATGATCCATAAACATTTTTATTGCTGAATTCGTTTCTTAGAAGCTACAGCATAAAAAATAATCCCCACTCAAAAAACAGGTTCATTCATACAGAAAGAGAAAAACACCTACTTTATTATGGTAATCAAAGTCTTGCCAGCGAAATCTCGCAATGCCCAATGATTGTCGGAATCAGGTCTAGTGCATAAAACTCGTCCCAACATGCAACTCATCAGGGATGGCAGAAATTCGTGGAGCTGCAAAATTGAAATGATCATTATTGGCTTTTTAATGGTCACAGGAGGCAGTTTGGGTTCAGCACTGCATCACTGATAGAAAATTACCCCTTGAACCAAGCAAAGATGATGAACATCCAAAGAAAATAAACAACAACAGAAAATCAAGAATAAAATAGCAAAGTAACAAATCGTAAATAGAATTAATAACAAAAACGCTAACAATGAAAATGTGAAAATAAGGAGAAATAAACAATAAAAAAACAAGAAGTAGCACCACAAATGATGCAAAAAAGGTGATGACACTTACCACTCCATCAAGTTTCACCGATTTATTGACAGCAATTGACCTCATCATTCTTACAACATAAATTAACATTGAAAGGCAGCGGTGAACTATGTTGCAACGCACCTGTAAGAACAAGAAGATTTGTAGTAAACTATTAGAATATGAGCAATAAAAGAAACTCTCAGAATAAAGAAACAAGACATTTTCCTTCCTTAGCGTTTCGAATTCGATTGCCACACACTTTAGAAACTTACGGAAGTATGTATCAAGCGCGATAATCGTGGTAATAGCTCCTGGATGCCGGTGTCCCTTTCTAACGATTGCAAGGCTTGCTGTCTTCTGCGATCATCTTGGCCTACACACGCCTCAACAATCTCCTTGAGATAAATCTGCTGCTCCTGAAGAAACACTCGTTGGAATCTCCAAACTAGCAACAATAATCATAGACCAAGTTATTGGAACAAACAAAGTCTATAAGCAGAGCATTTCGTAGGCTGGAATACAATATAACTCCAAAAAAAACGTACCACCGACAAGGGTTCCAGAAACGAGGGTTTGACTAGAATTTGCTCCTTTTTAGGTATTCCTTGAGCGGCCATGCGGAATGAAACTGAGGGTGCAGCAAGCTCAGCTGGTAGGGTAGTTCTGAAATGGTTACAGTCGTTGCAAGATACACACAACTTGTTGCCCCCACAAAATGCAACAAACAGAAGCCTTTTAGTAAAATTGCACTTATTGATAGGCCTTTTAAATGGATGGAAGTGTGAGCAGCAGATGAATAAGCAAGTTTCAAACAAACCCAGGTTATGCACGTCTATAATCATTTGCATAAACATATCCGACATTTCGGTTGCTAATAATTCAGGAAAGGTCAATCAAGCCCGTCTGAGGGCTGCGCTCTCGCATAAAATTTCAATTCAGAATCGTAGTGGTGGACTGAATTCGTATATGTCCAGGCAATGAATTGCGATGGCTAGCCGATGTGAACGTCAGTGGTTTGACCTCTCGACCAGTTTCCTGTCAATTAACCAACTCCGAAGGGAAGGAACTCTTGGGATGCCTAAGCGGCCCGAGTCATTCGTGTGTGATAATGCGCATTTGCCACTACACCACATCCACTCATTTTTTATAGTAATATTGTAAGTTGATATACATATATCCATGAGTATAGAATAAGTCGAGGGTGATGGACACTTGTTGGGTGACGTGCAAATCATCTCGTTTTGGGACTGTGAAGAAGAAGGTTGAGTCGAAACGTTAGACTCTTTAGTTAACAAAGAGATTCATAAAAAAAAANAAAAAAAAACTCGAATAGGCACAGGAATATAACGATTGCAAACACTCATGCTGATATTAGACCGAAAGAGAAGCTGGAAATTATTGAAAACTATTACCTTTTTCTCAAAGCAGCTGGAAGATCCGTAGAAGACATACCACTTGCTTGACTGGCCTTTTTGGCTTTCTTCTCTTGAGGTGGTTCTTCCTCACTGTCTACTCGTATCCAGTGAACTAAACGATCGTTGTAAGCACGAGCAACAGAAGCAATCATTCATTCTCGATGATACTTTGAAAAGAAGATGAAAATGTTCTTGACGTTCCTACAAGCAAAAATAACACACGTTGGTTGCTATTATTAAAAAATTAAAAGAATGTGCGCTCAAAATCACATATCGTTATTATACTCATCTACAGTTCGGAATGTTCCCATTAATTAATCGCCTAGAGCTCTCACCTCTAATGTGCCTTTTTACCGGAACTTTTGCTTGTGAGTGTTGCGAAATAGACTGGACATCAACGTCAACATCTTCTCGTACATAGAGTTGTTCCCCTCCCGGCATGCGAAGCTGTCTCATAGAGGGCTGTGAGCGAGTTAAAGCACCGATAGGCATCTCAAACAACAAACAACTGTGATAGCACCGCGGAAGCGCTAATGTAGTTGAGTTACCGGAATACTCAGTTCTCGAAGAGCATGCTGCACATCTTCCACCTTCATAGTCCTTCGTCGACCATGTAGAGTAATCTTGTGGGCTAGGATTGAGCAACGAGACAACACTTGTGTCAGCTTCAAAAGATCGTATTGAAAAATTTTTCCGCAGTCTTCTAACCTACAACGCTTTTATTTTGGGTATTTTATCGTTACTCAGGGCGCTGGTAATGTAGTGACACACTTTCAGGCAAGCACGGTGTGGAGATCGGATCTCGGTTCGACGTGTGTTCAGGTCAACTATGCCCTCTATCCCCTCTAGATGGATTGACTGGCACCAGGCACACCGAATATAAAAGCACTGACTTGTATATCGACTGGCCACCACAAGTTATTGTTTGGGCCAAATAAGCATTCAATATGTCACTAGAATACTGAACAGAATTCGAATGTGGGGGNGGGGGCCATCCCGAAACGGTATTGATTAATGCCACATATTTCTCCTCTATCCTTTAATTTTACTTAGAGCACTACTCTTTTGAGTACTAACTAAGTCCTCAATGAATAAGTAAGTAAATTCGGCATCTACAGTATGCCCAACAGGAAAATTTCAGAGGAGTATCAAATCACGTAAATTGAATACCATCTAGGAAATCTAACACCCTACAATGGATGGCTAGTATTCTGAGCATGCTAATGCTGGTTACTGTCCAAGGTCAAGGTGAAGTATAGCTTTGGAAGCAGCTCATGTAACCTACAAAGGCCCATTGTATGATGCTTGGCTCCGGTAACACTAATAACGCCTAAGAACAATAAACTATCACTCGGGAAACAAAAAGTTACTGCAAAAATGCGAAGATTGTTTCAAAAATAAAAGAATTCAAAGGGAAAATGAAACTCACTTTATCAGCAAGACATTGTAGGGCGGCTGGCGTAAGATTAACAACACCCACTGAATCGCCAACAATCTAAAAATCTGGGTTAATAAATGGAAAAAATCAGAAAAACCAAAAGTGTAGCATACTTACTCTGACATATTGTGGCTCTATCCTTGGAGGTAGTGATTGAACGAAGGACGATGCACTTGCACTATGAGCAGTCATTACAACTGTTTTACTGAATAACTTGCGGCAAACGATATATCCAATGTAGCCATCTCAGAAGCTTCAAGATTGAATACCTATATTGATAACTTACACTCAAAAACTACCTAAAACCGCTGTAGGGATAAGAAACTAGGCGTCGATTAAGCGGTTTCAACCGTAACCCCTGCAACGACACATAATCCACGCACAAAAACTTCAACTCGTTTTAATTTCCCAAGTTTGAGGGATAGGCTTCTGCTATGTCTATACAACGCCGTCAAGCAGTTGTTATTGTCAAAATGCCTCGAGAGGAGATCCTGCAGGAGTTCTTCACTTCTCTCGAAAAGCCTGACCGCCAGCAGCAAGCACATCCATGGTGTGATTTGTCGGAAGCACGCCTTTTTCAATTGCTCATTCGTTTTAAACCGGCAGGAGTGACAAGGTACGCCGCTTTAGGCGCTATCCACATTTACATGAATCACATTTATGAAAAAGAAGAAAACGGTATCGAGATCTTTCTAAACGATGCAGACTTTCAAACCGTTAGGAAACGTAAGGATCTCCCTGCAGCTGACAAGAATCTTCGGTTTGAACCACGATATGCCATCAGACCTACTATTGATCAGATCGTAAGTAAACTAGACAAATATTGGGATATGAAAGCAGTCGAATATAATGAAGGAGTACCAGAAGGTTTTGAAGTTCATAGCGAATTCTTTCTTCCTGATGGGCAATTTTCTGAGCTCATGAGGGCAAAGGAAGAAGAGAATGCTGCTTTTTCATCGACTTCCGCAATGTCCAAGAAACGGTCACGTCGTGGAGGTTCTCCAGATTTGGTTGATCACCAATGATGCATTGATGTTTGTTGATTAATGGTATTGTTGTAAATACTTTTCAGCCGTGCAACAATTTTTTGAGCCATTTTTGGTTACTCTATTCTGGCATTTTTCTTCTCTCATGCGTATAATTGTTTTTTCGATTTTCTGTTATGATCTTTGAAAGTCATTGGCATGTCTGAATCCCGTTGTTGCGATTCGCTCCGCATTTTTTTACGATAATGTAGCACAACTCTACTTAACATCTCTTGTTCGGACACTTCATTTTGATATGTGACAGGGGAATGATCAGGTTGTTTTGTTATTTCAGACATTGCCACTGGGATATTTGTTCCTTGTTATATAAGCTCGTAAGCTCTAGTATGCTCCAATCCTGTTCACGTTTTATTTTTCATTGTCTTTAATGTAGGATATGTAATCTTGCTAGAGCTCTGAAAGAAAATTTTGATTTCCATGTGACATTGTTTAGCTCGAAATAAAATGGTCAAATGGAAGTCTTTTGACATTGAGTGGGTATGCTTTACGGTCAGATCGCAAGTTGTAATTGTTCTTCTTCATGCTACCTTTCAAAGTGAAAGTTATGGAATAAATGTTGTTGATGTCTCACGAAAGTGTTTTTTTACGAACTCTATTTTTACTAAAGATAGGTGAATTTCAATTAAGTTGCTAATTCCGTACTTCCCACCGTGCAGGTATGCATAGATTATAAGCAGTACTAGCCGAGTGATTAAGAATGTGAGCTCACTTTCGATGATGATGGCATAGCTTTGCATTAATTTTATAAGGTTTTTGTAAAACCTGCTGCCAAGATGCTAAATAAGTTCTTATCAACGTACGTTTTGGCGTAATCGCCTTCTTCAGAGTGTGAGAACTTGTATATTATCACTATCCATCCATCATTCCACTATAGCTTCAGATGATATGCCCTATCCCTCTCGCTGTGATACCGGGGCCAAACAAAAGCCGCAGAGGTCAGAAAAAGGCGCGATTTCTTTAATGTTATTAAATAGATATTCATTCTGCTCTTGATAATTTAGAATCATAATAATTGAAATTATTCAATGATAAGGAGTCGAGGATAACATGGCAGTCACGTTAACAACTTCATTTCCGGTGAACATAGGAGAGTAGTACCTGTAATGGTATGGGCACGTGCAGCCCTGTAATGGTATGGGCACGTGCAGCAATCACTCAGGGATCCCCCGATAAAAGGCAACGGAGTTTGGAGCGGAAGGTAGGCGGTCAGGTGGAGCTCCTAAAAAGATATGGAATTACTGAACAAGAAGACCCAGGAAACCAAGGTAACGGCAGAACATGGGGAGAAGTGGCGGCAAATCACCTTCAGGTGAATAGCGGACCCTGCGAGTGAAGTTGACGATAGACCTGCACAGATAATATCTCCCTACTTGAATTTTTTTCTAGAAGCATTCAATTTTGCTCTCTGTTGCTGAGGGTACACAGTTTCGGAATTGAAAATTTCAAGCCGTCAAAGGCGCCCACTTCAAAATAACGCGCTCTAGCGAGAGTGCCGCGACGCATCTGCAGGTTTTTCACACTTATTTCAATTTTTTTTTTGGTCTTTCACTGTTTACAAGCCTTTTACCGTTGATGTTCGGTGCTGTCCAGTTGGTTCTCGATGTATACTTCGATACTTTTGCATTATTTTAGCAAATGAAAGTCCATATATTTCAGGCTCCTCATGGCTGATGTGTGGAAATCGCAAGGCCGCAAATTTTGTGAGATTTGTAAGGTAATCGATTCTAAAGTCTATTACTGTAATAATTTGTGAAGTTGTTATACATCTGGGAGGTAAATTGTTCGGTTGACTAAGTGGAAGTGATTCGGAGGGCCCACAACATGAGCATTCATATCTGAAAATGCTACCAAAAATATCGGAAAGTCACTGATTAGGCTATCAAGTTTTGGAGCATATGTCTTGGTGATATGATGCATTTTATTTACATTTGTCTTGTTTTATCAAATATTTGTAATGTGCAGTTATAAACGATATCAGCTCACCTAATTTTGGCACAGAAGTCAGCGGCCAGCACTAACCATTAGGGTAGGTCATCCCGAAGACGAGTGTGTGGAAATGCGAAGATTATCCGGATTCCTTTTCCCGGATGCGAACTTGGTATTTCCTCAATTACTGATTGTCGTGACACCTTTCGAGGAA